AACTGCAGTCGAGATTTCCTCATGCCTGTCTCCTGCAGTGCTATCTAATGAAATGGCAACTCTATCTTTTCAGCTGCCCACAGCAAAACTGGCAGCTCCACATGCCACCCCCAGTAGGTCAGTTGTGTCAGCTCTGCCTTCCCAGCAACCACACCACCTCCAGCAGCACAGTCCAGCCAAGGCACAGCCGTCTGCACACCCCAGGTTGTCATTTCAGAAGCCCCATTGGTCACTTCCCCACCCACCACACAGTAATTTCTAACCCAGTAGACAGATTAAGGCATTTTTCAGCTTAAACTGTGAAAGGCTACTTTTCTCTCATTGCTGGGACAAAATACCCAACACCCAAATTTTTTTTTTTTTTTTTTTTTTTTTTATTTATTTTGTGTGTGTGTGTGGCCAGCTCAGCCCACCAGGGGGCGGGGCTGGCTGGCATGTGGTTCTGGGGGATTGAACCGTGGTCCCTGTGCTTTACTTAGCTTAGCTTGTTCTAAGTGGGTGCTTTAGACCACTGAGCCATCTCACCAGCCCCCAAACACCCAAAATTAAGGAAGGAAAGTTTTATTTAGCTCACAGTTAATGGAGGTTTCAGTTTGTACTTGGCTGGCTCTACGGCAGAGTGGCACATGGAAGAGGGCAGTAGTTCATGGCCAAGGAAAACAGCAAGTAACGGGACAGCGAGATGGCTCAGCAGTCTAAAGCACCTGCTTAGGCAAGTGCACAAGGACCATGGTTAGATCACCAACATCACATGCCACACCAGCGCTGCCGAGAGAGAGAGAGAGAGAGAGAGAGAGAGAGAGAGAGAGAGAAGAGAGAGAGGAGAGAGAGAGAGGCAAATAGGAGCAGCTGCTGAGGAGCTAGCCAGCTCTCTTCCCTCCTTACATCTGTATGCACATTATCTGCTCCAGGGCGGTGTTAGTATTCACACCCGTAACCCCAGCATTGGATCAAGAATTAATCACAAACTCTAGAAGCTGCCCCATGACTGCATGAGGCTTGGGGGTGGGGAATAGACACAAACCATAACAGCTTCTCAGCATGTTGAGGAACAATAAAGGAGAGGGAGAAGGGGAAGAACAAAGTCCTTACAATAGCATGGAAGCTGGCCATGTGGCACAGCCCTGTAATCCTACCACTTAGGACCCTGGGGCAGGAAGATTGTCACAAATTTGAGGGCAGCCTGAACTACATAGTGATTTCGAGACCAGCCTGAACTACAAAGCAAGCCTGATCTCAAAAGAAGAAAAAAAAAAAGTACACTCTCTCAGGCTTTCACAGAGAGCACATTGGCCAAGCAATGGCCGTGACTCATCCACATGGCTGACACTGACAAAGGATCTACAATCTGAAGTACAGGATCTCAGGATAAATCCTGAGGGGATTTCACTGACCTTATCAGACCCAAAAGCTACAACTCTTGTTGCACAGCTTCTGCTTTACCTTGGTCTTAACCATCCAGTAGAAAAGTATGAAGACGAAATATAGGAAGTAAAGCCATGCTGTTATGTTGAGCTGTGGGGGACTCAGGTCAATAATTTCTGGCATTGCCAGTTAAACAGAAGACCCAATGCTATTATGGGCTACTGGACTCTTTTAGAATATTTTGCTGAGTTTACACATCTATAATATTCAAATAACGGAACATAGAAAAAAAGGGGTATACAGATGAATGTCCATTTTGTATCTGTGTATTCAAAGTGGTTAGGATAGATATATAGTTAGATTCTCTTAATGAATAGAATGACTTGTTCTAATGGTGTTTGTAAATAGGATCTCAAGTCCGCATCTTGTACAGCAATTAACCACTAAGAAGAATATATGCAGTGTGTTAGTTAATGAAACTGTCCTACCGATTTGATTTGAAACCGTCTCATTGCTATTTGTTTATCAATAAAATTATAAAAAAAAAATGTAGAGCCCTATGTGACCTGAGTCTCCCCTACACCTCTGCCTCCCAGGTCCATCCACTACTCCCGTGCTTACACCACCCTGCCATGCTGGCCTCCCTGCTGGTCCTGAGTCACCCCAGGAGAGCTGCTTCTCAGGGCCCCAATACTGGCCGTGCCCTCTGCCTTGGAGGTTCTCCAGACAGCTGCACAGGTCATGCTCTCCACACGCAGCTCTGCTCCATGCTGCTCTCCTGTGGCTGTCCTTGGCCTGGCACCAGGTCAGCTGCCTTCCCCTAAACACTCTCCCCAACCCCCTTCTTTGCTTCACTTTCCACCATGGCACTCACTGGTCACATCCGACATACTATATGTGCTTATTATCTGATTTGTAATTTGACAGCATAAGAGTCATTAAGCAAGGATGTTTTTTGTCCTTAATTACTGTATCTGTAAAACCTAGAACAATGCCTGGAAAATAGCAGGCACTAGATCTTTGCTGAATTAATCATTCTTTTCCTCTGTGTGGCTTGATATCTTTAATACATTTTGTAGACCAGTTTTAGGGTCACAGCAAAACTGAGTGGAAGATACAGGGACTTCCCATTTACTTGCCCATACGCACACTCTACCTCACTATCTACATATGGCACCAAAGTAGTACATTTGTTGCAGCTAATGAGCCTACACTGATATCATTGTAGCCCAGAGCCCAACCTTGGCACTAAGTTCATCTATGTTGCAATTCTATGGATTTGGACAAAGATATATTGTATCCACTATTAGAGGTTTCATACTGACTAGTTTCACTGCCTTAAATATCTTCTGTTCTATGCCTATCCCTTCCAGACCCCAACACCTGACAACAACTAATCTTGTCTCCATAGTTTTTACCTTTTCTAGAATGTCATAGCTGGAGTCCTATAGGATATAGCCTTCTCAGACTGACTTTTTTCTCTTTGTGATATGCAATAAAGTAAATGCTTCTCCATATCTTGTCCTTGCTTGACAGCTCATTTGTTTTTAGTGGCTATTGATCTTTTTTCTCTCTTTATAAACAATATACTTCATCTCTTTGGTCAGAAATATTTTCTTCCTGGTTTGTGCTTTCCCATTCTGTTGTTTTTTCACCTTGAATACCATTCCCCCTCTACACCACCACAGTTAACTTCTCTGCTTCTATCTAAATGTGATCTTAAGGGCCAGCCAAATAGCTCAGTGGATTAAAGCACCTGCTTAGGCAGACGCAGAGGCCGGGAGTTTGATCCCCTGACCTGCCATGCCAGCCCCGCCCCTGGAGCACACTGAGCGGGTGATTGAGACTGGACATGGTGGTGTTTGCCTGTAATCCCAGCACCTGGGAGGCTGCAAACAGGAGGATCACTATGAGTCTGATCTACACAGTGAAACCCTGTAGACCTCGTAGACCCTGCCCTAAACATACATACATAAATAAATAAATAAATAAATAAATAAATGTGACCTTAATCCATAATATGTCCCTCGTGTTTTGTAGGTGGGTAGCTCCTTTACTTTTGCAAACACCCTGAGTGCTACATCTAGGCCCCCTTACCATCTGCCTCCTGTACACTGCATTCGAAGATTCACCCAGAGCAAACGGTGATACAGATATAAATTGCTTGCTGAATTGCAATCCGGTCATGCACCACATACAATTTTGGTTAATAATGAATGGAATATGTGAGAGGGGTCCCATAAGATTATATCATCTAGTGAGGTAGTAGCTGTATTTACATAGGACTAATCTTGCCCTTTCTCTTCCCACAGAAAGGGCAAGATTAGTCCTAAACCCACAAATCTATACCAATACCATTAAAGCCTGTTGCTGCAGGGAGGGTAGCAACTCTCTCTCTCCGCCCCCCACCCCTCTGAGACACCATGGACACAAGTCAGAGGGAAGAGGGGCGAGAATACTGAGAAGAGTCAATACTTCAGTAGGCATACATGGCCTACTACAGACCGCCACTGAATTAGAACAAGAACCCCTTTATCTGTCCTCTACCAGTGTAACAAGGAGCTAGTGATAACCACCAGTGGCTAGGGCTTGGTAAGGGCCCAGAAAAATCTTTGCCTCTACTACAAAACTATATGGGACATCTATAAGCTAAAGGTGCCCACAAATATTTTAAGAAAAGTTATGCAGACCCAACCTAAAATACACAATAATGATAGAATACATAGGTCTGGGTGTGGCTGAAGGGATTTACTGAAGAGTTGAGTTGCACCAACCAGTAGTCTTTTTAACCTGAACAGAGTAAAAGGTAAAGGAAAGAGGGGGGCTCCTTCAGTTTCTTTGGAGGAGCTCCAATCTTCGTCCTCACTTTGGATGTAGTCTCCCAGTTTTCAGCACAGATCCTTCAGCCTCCTGGGCACAGACTCACACAGGACACTACAATGAGCTCCAGACCTTCAACCTTTGACTGGATCCTTTGGGATCTCCACTGTGTAGACAGCTCTTTGGCACTCTTCCACATGACCCTGTGGCAGCCAAGTAGAGTGCTGGGATTATAGGTGTGCACCACCATGCCCAGCTCTGAACACTATTTTAAAATAACATATGTCTCATGACTGGGAATGGTGGTGCACGCCTGTTGTCCCAACACTGGAAGGCAGAGGCAGAATTGCTAAGAATTCAAACCTAGCCTTAGGCTACACAGCAAGACCCTGTCTCAAAAATAAATAAATAACCCAAACACATTTACACAGGAGAAAAATGATTTTCTGAAATGCAGCTTAACTACACATTCTGTATTTGCTAACTCTGGCAGCTCTACAGAGAGGTTATTGTGAAAATTAAATGAGGCTGGCACCAGGCGTCGCCCAGCGTTCCGCACAATGAGCGCCTAGTGGTCGCTAACGCTGGTTTAACCCCAGCCCTAGCTCCTAATTCATTACGTGTCCCTTTCTTCTTTCCCCCTACTTTTAAATGAATCATATGTACTTGCTGCGTCTCTTCCCAAGTAGACAAAAACCCCAAGGGTCAGAACCCCAATATTATCTCGCAAGTTCTTAAAGCAGGAAACCCAGACCCTCCCTCCCAGGGGGCGGGTCTCGGCACGTAAATAAGACGTCATCAACCGGCCGCGCGCCGGCCCGGGGGCTGATGGGATTGTGGCGGCCCGTTCTCCAGCTCATATTCTACTCCTGTCCCTCTACACTCTCAAAATGGCGACCTCTCTGGGTTCCAACACCTACAACAGGCAGAACTGGGAGGATGCGGTGAGTGTGCCCGCTGGAGAAGCACGGCAGGAAGCAGCAGAGTCGGGCCTCATGCGAGCGTGCAGGACTGGGGCAGTGGAATGGCCGAGGGAACTCCAGGAAGGAACCAACGCTGCGGCCTACCTTGGCGGGAGCAGGAAGCTGGAGGCGGCCTTCCTGCGGCTTGGAGAGAGGGGTCTTAGCCAGGGACCAGGGTACCAGCCTGTTGCCCATCCCTGTCCCCACCAAGCTTTTCCAGCTGATTCCCACCCCCACACACACATACACCGCACATGCCGGAAGTGCAGACAGCGCCTCCTCCCGCCACCCGGCCCGTGCAGGATCTGGGACCCCTGCCCTGCCTTGTTCCCACTCGCGCTCCCTCCCGGTCCCTACCCCCATCCCCGTGAGTTTGATTGGGTTGGCTGGGTCTTCGGACTTGGTCCTCAACTAGATTTCCCATTTTCACCAGGACTTTCCGATTCTATGCCAGACATGCCTTGGAGAAAACCCATATATCCGAATGGTGAGTGCTCACATGTAACAGAAGTCATTGTTCATGTTCTGTCAATATTGTGGTAGTGCACACAGTTAAGTGTTTCTCATAGACTTCAGGAAAAATGATGTTTTTGTTAGCCCAGACAGCAGGATGATTTGCAAAGGACTGTCATGCTAATACTCTCGCTTTAGGAATTCAGCGATAGTCCCATATTGTAAGAATCCTAACAACTAACATTTGTTGACGATTTACTTGGGAAGGGAGATCTGTGGAACAGAGGATGAGAGAGTTTTTTTCTTATATATCAAGGAACCAGTGGAGCTGGGACTTAAGATACTCTGACTCCAGGAACCTCAGCAAATGAGAACCAGGATTTGACTTGTTCCAAACTCCTAGTTATAGGCCTTTCACTGCACCGTATAGTCTCTAGTATAAAGTACATCTCGTCCTTATAATAAAGGTGTGAGGGGAAAATAACCCCCACCCTGTGAGATGTCAGATATGCCCAATTCGTGGTCTCACAACACAAGGAATGAAGTTGCAAGCCAGAGGAGTAAGTTGAGAGTATTTTATTGGAAATAAAGAGAAGGTTGGAAGGGATTCCAAGTTGGTAGCTGAGCAGGCTTCTTGTTGGGGGAAATTATACAGTGAAATCACATCATGGGTTACACTGCAGTCAACCTATAAGACTACAAGTATAGTCACTTATTAATAATTGATCTAGTAGGGAAATGAGTCACATAGCAAGAGCATATGGAAGGAATAGAGGTGTTCTTGGAAAGAGATGAGTCTACATGTTCTGATCACCCATCTACGTGTCTTTTTTTTTTTCTTTTTTTTTTTCTTGAGACAGTCTCACTGTGCAGTTCAGGATGGCCTTGAGCTCACTTTGTAGCCCAGGCTGGTCTCGAACTCACAATGATCCTCCTGTCTCGGTCTCAGTGCTGGGATTACAAGCGTGCAGTACCACCCCTGGCCCATCTATGTGTCTTGATGCCTTTTTAGGCTCACAGGTGGTGTTCATTACAGTGTAATCTCAAATCGCTGTTTACTCCTGGGGAAGCCTGTAGGCCTCATTTTTCTATTTGCATCTTGAGGGTGAGCTCTCTTCAGGTTTGCTTCCAGCCACAGTTTTGATGTCCTCATCTTTTATTCTGATTTCCACAAGGGTCCAGTCCCTCTCTGACTGTATATTAATTTCTGTCTGAAGGTAGCTGTGGATAATTAGGGTAAAATAGTTAATAATTGGTTAGGATTCTGTTACTGTTATCAGTCTCAGAGATGTTGACATGCTGGTATGTATAAGATGTCTGAACAGCTTATGGGAACAGAACGTTGGCAGGATACAGGATATAAGCACAAAATGAGTCTAGCGTAGTTACCTTCTGACCAAACTTTGGAAAGGGACTGACCCTGGCCGTGTCCTCCTTGATTTGGGGATTAGGGGGAAAATTCTTAGGAATGAACAGTGAAACTTAGACCTGTGGCTGTGAAAAGACACTTCCCTGGCACTAGATCTGTACTCTTGAAAGACTCATAGTATGCTATTAAATTGTATCCACTAGAAATAAAAAGAACTATGATGTGATAGGTATATATCAAGTACCTTTCTATGATGAATGTATTCAGTATGCATTGCAAACATGAACCAAAAAATGTATAAAAAATGTATCTCCACATGTGGCGTATGCCTGTAATCCTAACACTGGAGGCTGAGGCAGGATTGCCCTGAGTTCAAGGCCAGCCTGGGCTATGTAGGGAGTTCAAAACCAGCCTGAATTACAGAACAAGATTCTGTCAGAAGTAAGAGTATCTCCTAGCCCATTTCACCCCACAAAGATTTGTTTATTTTAGTTTTGTTTTTCCAAATTAGGGTGCCAAGGATTCACAGACACATTTTTTTAGTTTTATTTAGGGAAAGCCTAAATACCTGGGCCTTTCTGTAATTGTAGTTCTTTTTTTTTTTTTTTTTTTTTCTTTTTTCTTTTTCAGACCAAAGAAAAGTACGGGAAGGAATGCAAAGTAAGTATGTCTACTAAAAAGTAGTAATTACTCCCCTCCCCACTTTGTCTGCCAAGTTAGCCTTCAACTTAATAGGCTTTGATAGCCTCCAATAAAAGTCAGTGTTGCAAGCTTTCATGTATCATTGATGTATTTGTTGACTGGTAACTATTTTATCTTAGAAAGTAAGAAAATGGCCACTCTAACGTAGAATTTTGTAATGTAGGGTTCATGAATTGACCTTGAAGATTTTTTTTAAATAATTTTATTGAGAAACAAATTTCTTTTTTTTCCATAATTTTATTGAGAAACAAATAACAGTGAGACAGTTTCAAATCAAATTGGTAGGACAGTTTCAATAAATAACACATTGCATACATTCTTCCTAGTGGTTAATTGTGGTACAAGATGCGGACATGATATCCTGTTTAGAAGGATATTTGATATTAATAGAACAAATCCCTCTATTCATTAAGAGAATGTAACTATATATCTATCCTAACCACTTGGAATACACAGATACAAAAGAAAAAAAAGAGAGCCAGGGAGATGGCTCAGTGGAATAAGTGCTTCCCTGGCAAGTGCAAGGACCTGAGTTCAATCCCCAGTTCCACAAAAAAAAAGGAATACACAGATACAAAATGGACATTCATCTGTATCCCCTTTTTTTGTTAAGTTCCGTTATTTGAATATTAGAGGTGTGTAAACTCAGCAAAATACTCTAAAAGAGTCCAGTAGCCCATAATAGTATGGGGTCTTCCACTTGACTGGCAATGTCAGAAATTGTTGACCTGAGTCCCCTACAGCTCAACATAATAGCATGACTTTACTTCTTATATTTCGTTTTTATACTTTTCTTCTGGATGGTTAAGACCAAGGAAAAGCAGGACTATGCAACAAGAGTTGTAGCTTTTGGGTCTGATAAGGTCAGTGAAATCCCCTCAGGATTTATCCTGAGATCCTGTATCTCAGATTGTAGAACCTTTGTCAGTGTCAGCTATGTGGATGAGTCACGGCCATTGCTTGGCCAATGTGCTCTCTGTGAAAGCCTGAGAGAATGTTTTCTCTCCATGTGACTCTCCTTAGGCACACTCTACATCATGGATCACTTTCGTCTTTGGCCCCATAATCTCCTTGATCAGAAAATTTGGGACACTACCCAGTTACATGACGTAACAGTACAAGTTCTCATATTTGACCTTGAAGAGTAATTCCTATAAAGTGATATATAATTATGCACGTGAGCATTTTAGCTGAGGTCATAGTTGTTGTGGCTCAAAGGATTATTTGATATTCCCCACTTGCCCACCTGAAAAGATTAAGGAGCTGATTATTAATGGTGCTTACCCCTAAGCTTGACTTTTTAAATATTTTCACTTTTGTACTGTGCAGGTGTTTCATTTACTACCCACTGTTGTTAGACCACCTGGTTTGATTGTCCAGGTCAGGACATTGACACAGTGCGGCATTTGTCTTGTGTTCAGATCTGTGCCAGGCCATTCACAGTGTTTCGCTGGTGTCCTGGGGTCCGCATGCGCTTCAAGAAGACTGAAGTGTGCCAAACCTGCAGTAAATTGAAGAATGTTTGCCAGACCTGCCTCTTAGACCTAGAATATGGTATGTTTGTCATGTCTAATAGATCCGAAAGTATACAGGTGCCCGTTTGCATCTCTGGTTCTGATTCCAGTGCCAGGAAAAGAATCGTAATTAGACCTGGGCCACGCTAAAGGCCTATTGAACAACAGTAGGAACTTAAGGATCAGTCAGGAAGTAACTAGACCTAGCCTCTTCCTCTGTAGACAAGGTGCGGTAAAAGGTATTGGTCCTGTGATAGATAATTTCTTTGCCTTGTGCTTTTTCTCTTGACCTGAAGCTTCCCCATCCCCCCTTCCCCATAGTTCCAAAAAGAAATTCACAGGCTAGTTATACATTGGGCTTTGTCTCAGCGGGATTTTTGTTTTTGTTTTTGTACCAGGGATTGAACTTGTGCTTGCCAGGCAGGTGTTTATGCCACTGAGCTATCTCCCCAGCAACTGTGTTGTTTTTCTGTTTTGGTTTGGTTTGGGTTTTTTGAGACAGGGTGTCACTATACAGTTTCAGCTGATTTTGAATGTGTTATGTAGCCAAGGCTGGCCTCAAAACTACCAGCAGTCCTCCTGCCTCAGCCTCTCCAGTGCTGGGATTACAGGAAAATGCCATCACTCCTGGCTTCAACTGTTTTTTTAGGACCAAAATATATTTTACAATTTTTTTTTTTTTTTTTTTTTTTTTTTTTTGTGGAACCAGAGATTGAACTCAGGCCCTTGCCAGGCAAGTGCTTATTCTACTGAACTATCTCTCCGGCTCCTCTTTTTTTTTTTTAAGAAAAGTAATTTACCAACAAATATTTCTATATAATAACATACTTTTTTTTTTTTTAATTTTAGGGAAGGGTCTACAGGGTGTTCAGGGTCTCACTACTAGATCGGACTTGTAGCGATCCACCTGTTTACAGCCACCCAAGAGCTGGGTTTACAGGTGTGTGCCACCACGCCCAGTCTCAATGGCTGTCTCTGTGCCCCGGGGATGGGGCTGGCACAGCAGGCCTAGGGATCAAACTCCTGGCCCTGCATCTGCCTAAGCATGTGCTTTAGTCCTCTGAGCTATTTGGCCAGCCCTCTTTTAACTTTAGAAAGTTACTCTATTGATCAAACTGGGAGAATTCTGGTCCTGCTGTACAGTGATCTTTATGTGACTTTTAACTAGCTGTAGGTTCTCTAAGATCCACCTAGAAATAAACTACTTTTACATTTATTTTAAATAAATTTTGTTATAATAAATTTAAGTCTGACTATAACCTAGTGATTTTTTTTTCTTTTTTTTTTTTTTTTTTTTTGTACTGAGAATCAAACTCAGGACCTTGCATTTGCCAGGCAGGCCCAGTGCCACTGAACTAAATCCCCAGCTCCCATTATTTTTCATTTAAAAGATTTTTGTAAAGCACGCCCTTTACTGAATGTAGTAGTGCACGCTTATAATCCCAGCACTCGGAAGCTGAGGCAGGAGGAGCACAAGATAACTGGATTACATAGCAAGACCTCTCAAAAACAACAACAAAAAAAATGCCCTTTATCAGATTTCACAATAGTTCAGGAATTTGAATAATTTCTTCGAATGTTGCCTAGCAGTATTGGCACAATAGTACTGAAGTGTGACTGAAGATGTAATAACATCTCTGGTACCAAGTAGGAAAGAGAAAGGAAGGGTGCTGTTGCATTCTGTGTGTGCATCTAGTGTGGATGTGTCTTTGTATATCTGTACATCTGAGATCTTCCTCCATTTCTTTGCACTAGGCCTGCCCATCCAGGTTCGAGATGCAGGACTGTCTTTTAAAGACGACATGCCAAAATCAGATGTCAACAAAGAATACTACACACAGAATATGGAGAGAGAAGTATGCTGCCATTTGGTTTGGTTTGGTTTGATGTTATGTTTGAGATGCTGGGAATTGAACCTGGGTCCTCAAGATCAGTGTAGTTCTGTATTTAACAGTCCTAATGAACTGACTCTAAATTTGTCATCCCATGTAGATTTCTAACTCTGATGGAACACGGCCAGTTGGCATGCTGGGGAAAGCTACGTCCACCAGTGACATGCTGCTTAAACTGGCCCGGACCACACCCTACTACAAAAGGAATCGGCCCCACATTTGCTCCTTCTGGGTGAAAGGAGAGTGTAAGAGAGGAGAGGAGTGTCCGTACAGGCAAGAGCTGGGCCACAGTTTCAGTGTTTGTTTTCAAATATGATTAGTTGTGTAAAAAAATGGAACATGCTAGCTGAAGCTATTTGTGACTTAAAATCCAAGGCTTATACAACTAGAACAATGCTTTATGTGCTACTACTATTAACTTTATAATGGCTTGATTAATTGAAGTTTTTACTTATGACTGTGTCATAGGAAACTAGTTACTATGCCAGGTAAGATAAGTTGCTGATCCTAAAAGTTTCTGCCTGAAAAGTCACCTCTCACTGCCCTATAAGTAGCTTGATTTTCAACATTTAGTTGAAGTCAAAATAAGACAAAACTTTTTTTTAATGGTGTTTTGAAACAGGGTCTCACTATACAGTTCAAGCTGACCTAGAACTCAGTGTGGCCCAGGCTGACATCAGACTTGCAGAGATTCCCCTCTGCCTCAGCCTCTTGAATGCTGGGGTTACAGGTCTAGCTCTAAATCCAGACTGTTTTAATCAAGACTGCCAGGCATCTGAATTAGGAGTTCTTAACTTTGTTTGGTTAACCCCACCCCACAAAAAAAAAATATATATATATATATGCTCTTTAGGGGGTGGGAGCTATCTCAATAGCTTTAGTCAGATTCTTTAGTCAGTGTAAGATTTCAGATACATTCAATAACGGCACAGTGGTGTATACATATAATGCCAGCACTCAGAAGGCTGGAGCATCACCATGTGTTCAAGTCCAGCTTGGGCTACATAGTGAGACTTTGTCTCAAAAAAAAAAAAAAGTGGCGAGGTAAGAGGGGCATGGTAGCACACACCTGTAATCCCCACACTCAGAGGCTGAGGCAGGAAGATCATAGTAAATTCAAGGTCAGTTTGAACTATATAGTGAGAACCTGACTCAGAAAAAGCATTGAGGGACTGGGGAGATAGCTCAGAGGCATAAGCACCTACCTGGCAAGCACAAGGACCTGAGTTTGATCGCCAGCCCCTGGAATCCTGGTCGTATTCTCTGGAGCCCAGATCCACGGGTGTACCATGCAGACCCCTAAACCCTGCATGGGTGTGCACTCCTGTAGTCCCACCACTCGGGAGTTTGAGACGGGTATCGCTGTGAGTTCAAGACCAGCCTGGAGGCTACAAAAGTGAGCACAAAGCCCACACAAACTGCAAAGCGAGACCCAGTCCCACAACAACAACAAAAAAAAAAGTATTGACTCAGGGATAACCTTTTGTTTAGGGGTGGATCATGCCAGAAGTATTTCTTTAAAAATAAAGTTGCAGCCTATTGATGGCCATTTACATAGATTCTAGGAGGCAAGGAATTTTGAACTGTCCTGTATTAGCTCTGGTATTAGCTCTGTTTTTTGGAATTATGTTTTGGTATAACATGGTTTCTAGTGCAAAGAACATTTCTGGATACATATTTGGGTTTTTTTTTCTGTAGCTGCTGTTGGTTGGTAATACTGTTTTTCCCCTTTGTTTCACCTGTATGTGTTGTTCTTTCTTCATAGACACGAGAAGCCTACAGATCCAGATGACCCCCTTGCTGATCAGAATATTAAAGACCGGTATTATGGAATCAATGACCCTGTAGCAGATAAGCTTCTAAAGCGGGCTTCCACAATGCCTCGTCTTGACCCGCCTGAGGATGAGACTATCACCACGCTATATGTTGGTGGTCTGGGTGATACCATTACTGAGACAGACCTCAGGTTTGTGGGTATAATTTTAAAAGCTCTTTTTGCTTTTAACTGCCTTGAAATAATTCATTTGCACAAATAAAGGCAAGCATGATAATTTATATAAAGTACATTTTTCTTCAGCTGCTCTTTAGTTAGCCTGCTGACTCGAGTGTTCATACAGTTATCCTTTCTGGTGGCAGAGAAGTAGTGCTCATGGAGTGCTTGCCTAATGGTAGTACTTAAATGAGACCTAACAGCCAACTAGACTTTTTGAAGGCTGGCATACGCCCAAGTTTGATTAACTATGTAGAGGAGGGAGAGCTTTGTAATCCTAAAACGCTCATGATTTAAACTGCTGGCTTTTAATGATTGATATGTGCTAAGTTTATATTAATTTTGGATTAGATTATGCTTGGCTGCATGAAACATCTGGGCAGTCAGTCATGAAAATTGCCTCTTCCAAAGGCAGAAAGTGGAAAAGAAAGCCCTGTAAGTCCATAGTCTGCCTTTGGTGGACTGTCCATTGAACGATATTTAAGTGAGCTAGGTCATCCCTAAGAGTCCTCAGACTAGACAGCATTTTAGTCTTTTTCTCATCTTTAATTTTTTCTCTCAAGATGAAACATTTTTAAACATTCCTGGCTTCTGAGGTATAACAGATAGTTTGCCAAGGCCACATGGTTAGGACTCAATGTCCTGAAGGAACCTATCAGAGCCCTTTTCTTCCATGAGAAAACTCGAGACGTATACTCATTCTTCCACCATTGTCAGCAGCACCACATCAGGGGACGAGATGGAGGGGAGGCATGTGAGTAGTTAGGGACTTAACTAGGGGCCCGTCTGTCCTGCCACCACAGGTCAGAGAAAGTTCCTCATCCAGGTCCAGTCTCAGGGAGGTCTGTGTTGTAAACCCACCTTTTTCTGCCCACTTTTTTTCAGAAATCATTTCTACCGGTTTGGAGAGATCCGGACGGTCGCTGTTGTACAGAGGCAACAGTGTGCTTTCATCCAGTTTGCCACAAGGCAGGCTGCAGAAGTGGCTGCCGAGAAGTCCTTTAATAAGTTGATTGTCAATGGTCGTAGACTCAACGTGAAATGGGGAAGGTAGGAATAAGACTTTTAAAAGATGTTAAGTGTTTAAGGAACTCATTTTCTGGAGTTTAGCTTTTTTTTTTTTTTTTTATGGGGGGTGGGGTGGGCGTGGAACTGGGGATTGAACTCAGGCCTTTGCGCTTGCCAGGCAAGTGCTTATTCTATTGGGCCATGTCCCCGGCCCTTTTCTGGAGTTTAGTAGTTACTGGTAAACAGGCTTGACTCCATAGGCTATTTAGAAAGACATTTTAAAAAGCATTCTTTGGCACTTGATTTCTATTGATGTTTAGAGTCCTGTTCTGGAAATAGATTCACAGTTTTGCTGTAATATTGGAAAATCGATTCAGAGTTTCACTGTAATAATGCAGGTATAATGCCAGATTATAAAGGGTGCATTTTAGAGTTTGCAGTGGAATTAGACCTAGATTCTGTCTGCAGACGTCGATTGTCTGGGGGAGAAGATAAAACAAGAGCTATTTTTAAGTTTGAAAGTGATGATTATATAACAGAAACGTAGGTAAAATGCCCTAAATTTTAAGTTTAAAGGGGAGGCATGCTGGGCATAGTAGCACGGAGCTGTAATCCCAGCACTCAAGGAAGCTGAGGCAGGAGATCACCATGAGTTCAAGGCCAGCCTGTACTACATACATAGTGAGACCCTGTCTCAAAAAAGAGGGAGGGAGATGTTTTCTAACTTTGAACTAGGTAGGAGCTAATAGCTTCAGCTCCCTTTATGAAGTTCTTCTGAGGGCCGGCCAGGATTAAAGCACCTGCTTAGGCAGACACAGGTACCAGGGTTTGATCCCCGGCCTGCCATGCCAGCCTTGCCCCATGGGCATGCTGAGACAGGCAGTTGAACTGGGTGTGGTGGCGAGTGCCTGTAATCCCAGTGCATGGGAGGCTGAAAACAGGAGGATCACTATGAGTCCAATCTGTGCAGTGAGACTCTGTAGACCCTATACTAAAATACATTAAAAAGTTCTCCCGACAGAGTGAACACGCCTGCATACATGCATGTTCCCTCTTCTGGTATTTATAATTGTAGCAAGTTTTGAACCCCAGTTTCACTGCATTCAAGGCAAAGAGCAAAGGAACTCCATTTGAGGGGTGAATATGACAAGCAGGAGTGTGAATCAGGCTGGAATGAAGTGTTGATGTCTGTGTGCTTATGTTTCCCCTAGATCCCAAGCAGCTAGGGGGAAAGAAAAAGAGAAGGATGGAACCACAGACTCTGGGATCAAGCTAGAGCCTGTTCCAGGACTGCCAGGAGGTGAGTACAGACTTCCACTCCCTCAGAAGCTGTCTGTCCTAATGGTTCTGTTCTGTCCCAGTGTGGCACCTGCTGCAGTTGGGTCCTCCCAACAGATCCTCTAAGACAGGGGTGCTGAACGTGTGGCACACATGGCCACGGCAGCCTTCTGTGTCAGTTAACACTTAACAGGTTCTCCATCACCACGCCAAGGATTTAAAGGTGACAGAAGTAGCATTACCAGTTGTCTTTGCTTCTAAGTATTGTTTTTTTCTCCTCTAGCTCTTCCTCCTCCTCCTGCAGCAGAAGAAGAAGCCTCTGCCAACTACTTCAACCTGCCTCCAAGTGGTCCCCCAGCAGTGGTGAACATTGCTCTGCCACCGCCCCCTGGGATTGCCCCACCCCCACCCCCAGGTACTGATCTATTCCTTCCCTGACCCAGGGTGCTCTGGTGAGAGTCCTCCATTCACCATAGGTTCTAAAGCAGCCAAGTCCTTTGTGTCTGCCCTGTAGACATCTACAAGTGGAGCTGATAGGTTGAGATTCTTGACATTTCGGGGGTTTTTGCCAACCTTCCAAGAGGGAAGCCACCAATTTTCTAAAGAGCTGAGTATGAGAATAAGCAGGATAGGAGTGCTGTGTTATGGTGATCTACCATCAGTTTGTTTCATGTCCTAAAGCCTAGTTGAGGCCCTAGAGTAGTATTGCTCAAAGTATGAGTGGTGGGCAGTTGTCATTTCAGTGTTTATTACCTGTCTTCACTAGAAAGTCTTACTGCAGGGGCTGGGGAGATAGCTCAGTGGTCCAAGCGCCTGCCTGGCAAGCACAAGGACCCCAGTTCGATCCCCAGTACCACATGCCATGCTGGCCCCAGAACCCTGGGCACTCCAGGCTGGCCTTAAAACCAGGCATGGTGATGCCTGCCTGTAATCCCAGCACTGAGGAGGCTGAGGCTGGAGGATCACTACAAGTCTGAGCTGCATAGCAAGATTCTGTATTGAAAGATTTTTTTTTTTTTTTTTTTTTTTATTTTTAGGGAAGGGTGTACAGAGTGTTCAGGGTCTCACTACTAGGTCGGACTTGTAGTGATCCACCTGTTTACAGCCTCCCAAGTGCTATGATTACAGGCATGTGCCACACCATGCCCAGTCTCAGTTGCTGTCTCAGTGTGCCCCAGGGGCAGGCCAGCACAACAGGTGAGAGATGAAACCCTTGGCCCCTGCGCCTCCTTGTAGGTGCTTTAATCCATTGAGCTATTTGGCCAGCCCTGAAAGAATTTTTTTTAAAACAAGTCTTACTACAGAGAAACTGATAGGGGCCAGGGAGATGGCTCAATGAAATGGGCACTTCCCTGTGGTAAGCACAAGGGCCTGAGTTCAGTCCCTGGTTCCACAAAAACAAAACAAAACAGAAACTAATAAATAACCATAACTGAGTTAATTTGGCCCAAGTTTATTATCTTATCCGTGGCCAGTAGTAAATACTTCAAGGACCTGCTCTTTTTGCAGCACTGTTGTAGAGAAATGTCAGTGACAGTGAACAGCCTAAGGTAACCCCAGGTGGACAATCCTTGGTGGAAAGCCAAACACCTCCATTCTTTTATCAAGCACTGAGGTTAAAGTTGGCAGGGTCTTGCCATAGGCATAATTTCTTCTGAATTTCCCACATCCTGAGTGAAATGCATCTGGTAGGATTTGGTATGGGTTTTTTGTTTTTGTTTTGTTTTTTTGAGTCAGGTTCTCTCTGTGCTGCTCAGGACTGCCTTGAGCTCACTTTGTAACCCAGGCTGGTCCTGAATGTGAAATGATCCTCCTGCCTCAGCCTCCCAAGTGCTGGGATTAAAGGCATGTGTCACCACACCAGTTTTTGGTAGGTGTAATACATGATGCTCAGGTGATGTCTGATAGGTGTGCTGGGTGTGGTGGAATTTTTTGGACTAAAAGGAAAAGTTTCATTACCCAGGAAGTAATTACAGATAGACATTCTTAAGCAAGTCCTGTGAACTGTCATTACTTAAGCCATGTTAGCCCTGATTTATGTGTAGTTAATTTTAGCAAAGTTCTAGGGTTTGAAAGGTTATCAAGTGAACTTCAAGCCTAACAGATTTGTTCTGTCCCTTGTGCAGGTTTTGGGCCACACATGTTCCATCCGATGGGACCACCTCCTCCTTTCATGAGGGCTCCAGGACCAATTCACTACCCTTCCCAGGATCCTCAGCGGATGGGAGCTCATGCCGGAAAACACAGCAGCCCCTAGCACATTATCACCACTCTGGAGCTCTGTGGAAGAAAGAATGCTTTAAAATCCCAGTATATGAATATTGGAATAAATACAGTTTTCCTTCCTTTGTAGTTTTCCACGGTAGCTGGATGTGTTCAGATGTGAGCAGCTAGAAAATGACAGCCATGCTTCCTTTCATGCATTCAGAGGATTACTGGACCTCAAGCTGCCATGAACACAGCTGGCTACTTCTATAACATTACTAAGAAAACCTAATGTCTGTTCCCTTAAGCCTGTATAGGGCCAGGCAGATGCATCAGTTGGCAGATCCAGCAGTTACCGTCCCAATTATAAGTTCATTTTGTAACCTTTTGGTGAGGGGCAAAAATAGACCAGTGGTAAAAATCTTTTGACCATTTTTATGACTATTGGGTATTTTCCTTTTTATCATCTTAAACAAAATTAGTACTAATCATTGTAGTGGCTTAAGTGTGATTTAAGGATTTAACTCTT